TTCTGCTATGAGTCACCAAGAACAGCCGCCACTGCTCCAACAGTCATGACAGCTACCTGCCTCTGACGTTGGCACACACAAACACACATCATCAATTACACCTCTTCATTGGAGTCTGAGGCACTGTGATGCCTGGGAATATCTTCCTCTGATGTGCAGGAGACGCAAACAGCTTGTGTCGTGAGCAGGAGCGCGCTGACGTGATTGTAGGAGGACTCTTTAGAGAAACGCAAGCAAAAACCTCTCATTTCACCTATGAGTCACGTGCCCCTTTTAACTTCAACGTCACTCCAGATAAAAATAACTTTCAATATCAGGATTGCGCCTTGAATCGCTAATTGCATGCCGCTGATTTATTGTGTATCTCGCTTTGTGTGAATCTGAAAAGCCTTTTGACTTGCCTTTTGACTCAAAGGAGCAGGTAATGAGTGTGACTTCATGGATCCCAAAGATCCTCATCAGGTTAAAAACATGTTGTCACACGATGGGAAATCAGATTCTTTAGAGGCAGCTCAGAGATAACATTTTCCATTTGTGGTTTCCACAAAGATAAAACCCCTGAAGAAGTGAGATGTTAGAGGGGTGCGTTCATTTAACATGCCACTGCTGCTTGAAATACATCATGTCAGCTTCAACACACCATGTGTCTACTTTGAAGCAATTAATTTTCTCCTGGCAGACTTGTTTTATTTCAGTCACATTAGTAGGTTATTTTGCCATTAATTATTTCACAAGCTTACGTTTCACATCAAATGGTAAGTCTCCTTATTGATAGGTGCTCTGTCAAAAAACTTGATTGCAAAGTGTGTGACTTGACTTTAACATAATTTCTCTCCAGCTTACAAACACATTGTTTTTTCTCCCTCTGCAGCACCAATCAACTCCCTCAGGAGTGCAGGCTGTTGTTAAAGGTGCATTAGAACCTGAGATGACTCACTTGATTTGTCATTGTGGAATAAAGCTGAAGTCCCAGCAGAAAATAAAATGAACAGTGAAATGGCAGCTGCAACCTTTGCACTGTTAAATACTTAACGTGATACACCCATTTTACTCAATGCAACAACAATTTAAACCGTCATTTCCAGGTTCTGTTCCGAAATTAAACAACAGGCATTTAGAGTGTTGTACAGGTATTAAAGCAAACATGGCAAGTCACATTTTCCAAAGCCATAGAGGAGTATGCTGTCTTTTAGCTGATGGTTAACTCTGTAAATGTGGACGACTGGATTTGTTGGGTTTTAATGTTGATTATCATTTCTTTTACAGCAGGTAGTCATCCTAACATTTAGGATTATGTCAGTAAATTCAGTTCTTTATGAATCACAATACACAGAAGTATTTTTAGTGAGTCTCCTCCTAAGTTCTGTCTGCTGAGCTGAAAAACAAAAATGATTTGGAACTATAAATCTATAATTCTGCCTTCTTATGAGAAAATATGTGCTGCAATGAATCTCATCCTTTCCCCTGGACTTTGTTTCTTAACACTTCTCCCCTTCCATCCTCCTGTTTTTCCTCTGCTATCATCTGATCTGTAGTCCTGCGCTGTGACGCAGACTGAGCGTCACATTTTCCTACGTGGAAATGTCATCAATCAGATGCCCTCACTTAGAGTCGTGGCGTCATCAGGGTCCATGGATCTAAGTCTAGTTGTCCGTAAACATCAGTTCTCACTTCACCTGCTGCCCTTTCCCTGTGTGCAAAACCCCACTTTAATAACCCTTCACTGACACTCTTAATGATTTCCAGTTACTCTCTGTGTCTAGACTGTATGTGAGGTACTGAATCATCCTCTAATATATATATATATATTTAATGTAAAGAAAATTACAATTATTAATTTAGCTAGTAAACTAATTTCTCCTTTTTTTAAATGATCACATTTTCCTTTTACGCCTCTCCCTTAATGACATGAAGACTAACAATCATGTGCTTTCGATGAGTCAGAGGGGAAACTCACTGTCTTATCTCACTTGTGAAAGGTGCAGGTGGAGTAAAGATCACATATTCAAAACTAACCAATGAGTCTACAAAAATCCCCAAAGAGCTATTAGGAGAAAAAGTAATTAACTAAATAATGATAAACATAATGATTTTTTTTGTACATCCTTACCTAAATGTTTAATACAACTTTCATGCCAGGATATATCATCTAATGTAAAAGTGGTTACAGTCAAATGTTCTACGCTGCTTTTTCTGTCCTGTGTTTTTATTGAAGGGAACTGATCATGTTAAGCAATAACTTTGCATTAGTTAAATCAGTCCTGCATATGGAGCTGTTAATTGTGAAATATAATGTTCATCTCCATAGATTAGAAAAAACCTCGTCACACAGGGATAGTCATATTTATTCTGAGAAATAGGCAGCACATCTAAGCTTCTATTTTTATTGAAGACGACCTAAGGACATCAGAGGTGTGCGGTTTTAACCCGGAATCCGTTACTCAAAAGTCACCACCACACCTGTTTTTTCGCCTCTTGCGTCACGATTTTTCAGCTTGCTTCCTTTTTTTAATAATTTCTATAAATTATGCCTTATAGGGCATCTAAATATCATTAAGTGACTGCAGGAAAACCGGCGGAGCTGTGTTTCTGTGCTGATTTTCGATCATCTCCTTATTATAATTGAAGCTCTTACATTTAGACAAAATGAGCGCTGTCTGTATCGGTATCAACCTTTAGCATCATGTTCCACTGCTTATATTCTGATGAGCCTCTGATCAATATGTTAGTGACACCGTCATGCTGGGCGGGTGGAGGGGCAGACAGGTGGAGGGCTGTTTCACCAACGCTCTTTCCGTTTTTAGAGAGTTATACCTTTCACAAACCTCCTCAGCTCTAATTGAACACTGTGTTTCCTTGGCTCGTCTTTAATTTAGTAATAATGACGCTAAATTAACAGACTCGTGCCCTCGTGCGCGCGACGAAGCTGCTTCGCGCGAGCCCCGCAGTGCCGCATAGCGGAACCAGCGAAGAAGAAGAATGGAGGTTTTGACAGTCGTTGTGCTTAACAGAGTCTACTTAAAGCAAACATTGGAGCGAGAATGTGTTAAGCTCGTTTATTAATGCGATATTTCATCGCCGGTTTGCACTCATTGCCTTATAAGGAAAGACCGTCGTGCCTTTCTGCAATAGGCCGAGCGCGGAGCCTGCGGGAACTCTGCTCCTTAACCCTTTCACTGCTGAATTTGATTAGCTCCAAGCCTATGAAACAATGTAAGGAGGGATTTAAATATGTTTTGTTTTTTTAAACCAATGCATCGAAACTGAATCCTTGCAGTAGATATAAGTATCATGAATAGATATAAATACATAAAGATATGAGCCAATAGCCGTAAGAAACTGGAATGGTTATGATATGGCTGTAACCCTGTCTTTGTCGAGCTATACCTTCACTTTTTAATCTTCATTTAGGTATAACCCTACTCTGCCCCTTGATGTGGAGCCTTATATCCAGAGGTCTGTGTGTCCCTTCACCGCCAGGCCTAAGCTGCTTCACACCGTGAGTCATGTCTGCCCCTCTCCGTGCCACTGACAGAGAGACGGCTGGTTTACGTCCGCTCGGGGCTCCGCGCTCACATTAACCCGCTGGAGTGAGAGCCGGCGGGCAGGGGATGCTGACCTACATCGACACAACCAGGGGCTCTCGTTTAACTTCGCTAACATCCCCCAGAAAATCCCCGCGACACGGGGCCCTCTGAAATGTCCTCTCTTTGTGTGACCTTGACTCAGAGCTCTATTCATTGTAATGCACATCACAGCGGCCCGCAATTTGACTTTACACTTGCAATGATTCACGGTGCATTATCTTCCTACAGAGGGGGGCAGTCCCACACTACAGCAGCTTCTGATGGGAATGCGGGTGTTTCCCTGTGACACTAGGAATCCCGTGATAGAGGAGGCCTTGTTATGGCGGCGCTGTGTATGCTGTGGCCTTGACTTTGGTGTGGCCTATTCTGTGTTTCCATGCGGAATAACTCGTTTGTGGTATTGATTTTCTCACTATCAAACGAACCCAACTCTATCATGGGCCCGGCTCATAAATAGGCCTACATGTTTAGCTATAGAAGGCTCACAGGTTGTAACCTACCTATCCCAAACGAGCCCATACTGGGCAGAGAATATACATATAAAAAGCAGAAGGCCTTAACAAGCTGTACATTGAGAGGGGCAGCACATGGAGACCGGCACGGTTCAGGACGGAACGCTGTTTTCTTTCAGAGCTCCCTCTTGCAGTTAGACCTCGATTTACATCCAGCCTCACAAGAGGCAGACATGTGGCGTTCACGATCTCATCTCAGCTCGTACTTACGAGAACCAAGTTCATTTTTGGCATATCTGTTTGCCTTGGTTGAACATTGGAAATACAATTATGTAGGATTAATATGTGTGCGGATTCCTGTGCCAAGAAGTATATGTTTATACATACACACCTTTTATTCCCTTCACACATTCACACAATTTCTCAGGCGAAGAGGGAATCCCAAGTTAAATCAGCCGTTGCAAAAATATTTAAATTATTTTATGTTACAAGTCTAAAACCTGTGATAGGGGAAATATTGCCTGTAACTATTTTGTTTTCTTGTGTTATTTTTGCTAGACAAGTGCTAGGCTACGACACCATAGTATGCAGAGTACTTTAATGTAGGCCTATGCCCTGTTAAGCTTCAGATCAACATGAATGTCTCAATCGTGCAGATTCTGACTAACAGTCAAATAAGGAGTTAATATATATAGCCTACATAGAATGGGACCATGTCTTAGTCTACTAAGCTGAAATGATCTGCAATTCAGTCTGGTATGTTAAATCCAGTTGTTTCCATGGTTTCCATAACCCTCACCTTAGTGTTTTTATAGAAAAATCAGTAATTCTACAATTGTACATATTGTTCAAATGCAACCGAAATCGTGATAACACTTTCCCCAACAGCCCCTGAAAGCGGCACGGCAACTAACCCCGCCCCTATTACCGCCCCCTTGTTTGACGTCACACCAACGGCTATTTGCATGCATGAGGTGTTTTCTAGCTGCAGCTTCAAGTCGCCTCCTGCAAAACGAGTCTCTCCGAGGGGAAAGCGAGGGAAGAGGCGCAGTGAAAATAAGGAGGAGGCGGGGGGTTCTTGTGTTTCACATCAGAGGAGCAGCACGGAAAAACGGCCCGAAAGCGAGGATAAGGTGTCGGATAGCAAAAGCAGAGGGAATACACGGGAGCTACTCTTGTGTCGGAAAATGGAGCTACCCGCCGCTGGAGAGCACGTCTTTGCGGTGGAGAGCATCGAGAAGAAGCGCAGCAGAAAGGTTTGTCACGAGAGCTGAAGGACATCTTTGCACACATGCACATGGAAAGGAGGATAATTAGCTTTGCTTTTCTTTCATCTTTATACGGACTACATTTTTTTTCATTAGCTTTTTGAAGGAGACGTTGCTGTGCAGAGTGCATTTTGCTGCGTAAAGTAACGTTGCGTTTCTCTCCATTCACAGGGGAGATTTGAGTACCTGGTCAAGTGGCGAGGATGGTCTCCTAAGTAAGTCGTTTTTATAACCATTACAATACTCCCAATGATAACACAATATTTACAACACAAGTGTTATTGCATCCGTGGGCGCGCATATGGACGGCTGCGCGTTCTTGCTTTGGGCGCTCGATGTGTTGGCTCTGATGATGGATGTGTCTTTACAATGTATTCAATCCCCAGTGTGCCAATTAAAGGAAGACATGTCTGTAATTGAACCCTATGTTTAAGAAATTCCCACATATTTACAGTTGAGTGGGGGCTGGGCCGTTGTTCCCCCTCCCTACAGCCGCGCGTAAAAGTTACTTATGATTTATTACACATTCATCCACAGGGAGTGCACGTGTCTCAGAGTGTTGTTTACGCATGTACATCCCTACAAATATGAACTGAGGATTTATTAGTCAAAGGTCGTTAAGTAATCTTCTATCTTCAGCTAAAGATCTGTGTTTGTGTGACAGGCCAGCGTGTCCTAACTGTCTGCTCTCTGAATAGATACAACACGTGGGAACCAGAAGAAAACATCCTGGACCCAAGGCTGCTTGATGCTTTCCAAGACAGGTACGTTTAGAGTCAGATAAGCACCCTCACAGGAGGTTCACAATTTCATCATCACAAACAGGGTTAAAGGCACACCCTTACATTTCCAGTTCTGCACCCAATAGATAAAATATGTGTTCCTCATGTTGAAACTGTGTGTTTGTTATCTCAAACGTTGCTTCCTAGTTACTCCATCTGAATAATGTTGATAATAACTCGTTTCAGTAGAGCTGCAACGATTAGGTAGACAACAAAATCACAAACAATTTAGATAATGAATTGGTTAAAGTCACTTTTGCACCAACATTTCAGAAAATGCTCCTTTCAGCTTCAAATATTGAGAATTTAAGTGATTCTCTATTCTCATATAAATATGTCAAAATGAAGTCTTATGGTTTTAGATTGAAAAAAATAGCAATTTAAAGAAATCACCTTGAACTTTGAGAAATGGGATTGACATTATATTCATATGGTCTGCCATTTTATAGACCAAACAATTAATGGATAATCCAAAAATGTACATAAAAGCAGTTGTAGGCTGCTGCCCTTTAGCTTCATAAGTGTCAGTCAGCGTGCAGAAATTCAGCGCCTGGGGGCTTGGATTAGGATTAACACTGGTGTCATCAGGGGGTCAGGCTAGGGTAAAGCTCCGGTCAGGGTTACCAGAGCAAAGTGTGACACTTGGGTGCACCGACTTTCTGTCACCTGATAGTCAGCAGCATTAGGTTATCGTGCTGCCTGCTGTCCCACCACCCACTCACCAGATGCACCTGTGTCATCTTCCACAGGACATGGTAACCCATAACATTACCCAATAAGGCAATTAATACCAAATATGCAGTATGATGAAAAACAACAGCTCTGTTTGGCTAATTGCTAACTGGCTATTTTATGAACAACATTATGCCTTTAGACTCTACATTTTTACAGAGACATAAAAAACTACGTTTTAATAATAATGTCTGATGTTTTCCTTAGTTAAAAGTGGGGTAGGTAAGTTTGAGAAACCGGCTCAAGATACACTTTTTGTTATATTCCATGGAATGCTCTTAACATCCCGATAGCAATGATAGCAATAAGTGCTTTGACAAAAAATCCATAAAAAAATGTCATCTGTGGAAGCTGTAGTACTGTAAAAAGCACGACCAATCATTTTAGCCGGCCCGGCTAAAATAACTGGATGGCCTACCTGCCTGTCAGCCTTCCATCTGTGCACAAACTTATCTTGTGCCCTCATTGGTCATGTGCGCGTTCGTGTGTGTTGGAGGAGGGGCTCTATAAGGAAGTGGCAGATTTTCTCCGGTTGTGTATTTTCAAATTCTAGCGATCTCGAGCAGGTTTCTCAAACTTACCTACCCTACCTTTAAGTCAATTTTGTTTAATTGGAAACAACTTCTTCTCCCTCATTGAAACAATCCAGTAACTATATGTTGTTATTTTCAAAAGTTACTATGAGACACAGTATGTGTCCCTCCCTACTACACTGTGTCCATTCTCAGTTTGTGCTGGAGGTTTCCAGTTTCTACATCACACTTGTGTAGGTAGCATAATTAGCTTCTTAACCATATGTGATGTCCTTACTGTAAAAGGGATAGTTTGAAAACCTACGATTTTGTCGTCTCATAAATTAGTTAATTTAATCCATGGATCTGGTAAACTGAGTTTCTCCTAAAAGAATCGTGGTAATTAACCACTAGTTCAATCTTAGTTGACTAAAAGTATGACTGCTCGTCTGTCCTCAGATTTAAGGTGAGCACAGAGAAGCGTTCTCCCTTCAGCAGATTAAAGTGGAAACAGCCTTGTAATGTCAAACTCTGCTCACATATCATCCTACACACTGAAGGCCCAGCATCAGTGAAGCAGCTATCAGGAAATAATGTTTTCTAAATGGATGGGGACTTTAAATCTTTTCCTAATCTGCTCATGATGTGGTGGAAAGGCACGAGGAAATGAAGATTGAAGTGAGCAGCAGGAACTAAATAGCAGCTTAGACTTGTTATAAATCATCATAGAAGTGTGCGCCGCCTCAGTGTCCGGCCAGAGGAACTTCCTCATGTTCTCTATTAGTGTAGGAGATCAAAGCAGCCTTCCATGGAAATTAGCTGCTTGGCTAATTGCTAAATAGTCTGTTGAGTGACTGAAGAACAGTGTCTAATTGAATTTCTTTATTGTGTGCTAAACTGTCCCTGACTTTACTCTGCGCCCCCCACCCCCCCTCACCTTTCAGGCGCAGGTCACACGTTAAAGCCAAACACTGATGTCACTCTGTGTCTGTTTTTGCAATTACCCCCTCTGTCTGAAGAGGGGAGATTTTATTGAAACTAATTGTGTTTCTCTCCGGGGAGCCGAATCGTCTGAATGCCAGGCTATGAAAATACACTGAGTCGTCATTGTAATTAGATGTGAGGGAGGGGGTGGGGGAGGGGACTGACATCACTCCTGTCTGCGGTATAGAGTTACTGCCTTGGAGAGATGAAGGAAAAGTTAGGGAAGTCAGAGCAGGGCTGGCCTTTACCTTCAGCTGCAGATACAAACATCACATGCTCTAGAGGGGAGGAGAACCAATAGAAACACTGGTGAGTTTCTGCTGTTGCATTCATCTGAAATAAAGACAAAGATTGCTGTGAAAAGGTTATGACATAACAACAAAACAAAGTGAACCCGTGCTGAATGAGTTTCGCTTCAGGAAGTGTAACTCCAACCTGTAACACAGGCTCAGTGTTTTTGTATTCGAGCCAGAGGAGGACACCTGTAACGTTTTGTTGCCATGCAACGGCGACACAGCTCGGCGATGGTTTCACTGATTGGCTGCTTTCCTCTCCCACAGGGAACGCCATGAGCAGCTGATGGGATATCGCAAGAGAGGACCCAAACCCAAGCACCTCCTGGTTCAGGTGAGAGAATTATGATATTTAATCCTTCTTTATAGTTACATTTATTCCTAAATTCCATTTTCATGCATAAGTCCCTCTTAAAATCACAAAGCTGTATAGATACAATTTCAGTTATAAGTCAGATTTAAAGGGGCGATTAGAAGGTTTAATATTACACTAACATAAAGTGGGGAACTCACTAGATAGAGTGAGACTGTCATAGTTGAAGCAGCCACTTTATCCTGACTATTAGTCCCAAGAACCCTGGTTCAAGCTGTGGAAATGCTGGATTCTGCAAGCAATATTTTTAGACCACTGCCTCTCAAACTCAACCCCCTGTCTGTACTCCAGGCTTACTCTTATAGATATATAGCTGAAATACCCGCTGACATCATCAGGGTTATTGTCTAAGACTTTAAAAGCTCCTCCAGCGCCACAGAACCCATTCAAAATTAAACTATTTTTTCATAGGCTAAGTGGATTAGCATGATGACATTATTCATTTGCCTTAAATTTAACTTGTTTTATTAAGTTTCTTATTTGTGTTTCTTGTTGCCTAGGATTTTCTTTTTGTTTATTATTGTGTTAACTCTGCTTTCTTGTAAATGAAGTCAAATCCTCAATGTATTTCCAAATAAAAATAAAGGTTGAGTTAAATAAAAAGTGCCCCTTTATCTTAGATGTTGGGAGTGCTAACACGAATTGTGCATTTTGAGCATTAATCATCGGTCCAAAAGGCCGCTGGAACCCCTCAGAGGAGGGTTTGTGTTCCTCTCAGGAGGGTGTTGGTGGTTACACATGGGATAAAGTCAATGACAGGACACAAAGCAGTCAGGGACATTCCTGAGAGCTGAGGTCACAGCCAGGGGAGTCACTATGAAATGTCACTGTGATGAGCTGGGCACAGGAGCTGTGGGGGGGGGCTGTGTGAACATGGACCCCGGCCCCTGAAATAAAGTGTGTGTCTCAGAAGAACCCCTCACACATTCCAACAGTGTTTCTACAGCACTCAGGGGCCCCAGTGAACCGGGGCTCTTTGTTGTAGCCTGACACAGACACATAGACACTGTTGTAGACCCATTGCTGTAAATACTTGTAAAAACAACAGATGTTGATGGAGTTCCATGTTATTGTGCTTTTTTATTGACACACATCACTCTCTGGTTCCACAGGTGCCTTCTTTCGCCCGGAGATCCAGCATCCTGGCTGACCTCCATGAGGCGTCCCTGGAGGAGGAGAGCTGTCTGAAGCCCAGCCCCATGCAGATGCTCCGTCCCCAGGGCCAGCAGTACCAGCTGAACAGCAAGAAGCACCACCCGTACCAGCCGCTGTGCCGGGAGCGCGACACCGAGCAGCCGGCACACGGCAAGAAGTTCTTCTACCAGCTCAACAGCAAGAAGCACCACCACTACCAGCCAGACCTCAAGGGCCACGAGCCCATCTTTGCTAAACCCAGAGAGGTGAAGGCTCCGGAGCTGGTGAACAAAGGGTACAACCTTCCCCCGGTGCTGCAGCAGAAGTGGGTCCGGGACAAGGACTCCGGTTGTCTGACAAAAGTCAAGGATATCACCATGGAGCTGAAGAAGCTCCCAGCGGACCTCAACGGCCACAAAGAGCCGGAGAAGGTCCAACCTAAAGAGGATGCTACACTAACGCAGTCGAATGGAGTCAGCAACGGCAAGTTAAAGATCGTGAAGAACAAAAACAAGAACGGGCGGATTGTTATTGTCATGAGCAAGTACATGGAAAACGGAATGAAAGCGGCTAAGATTAAAAACGGCGGCTCTGACATCGCTGGAAAGCCGCTGCAAGCAGCTGACAGCAGCACGGAGAACCACCTCGAGAAAATGAAGCTCGTCAGGAAGCTCGGCCTCATGAACGGATTTGCCAAAAACCCCAAAGACGAAACAACCTTTCCTAGTTCTGGATTTAAAGTGCATTGCCTCAAAGAAAAGCAACAGTCCCCCAAAACGGAGCCAACTGTGACGGAACAGGATAAACCTGTCAGGGTCAGGGGTCAGGGGCAGCTTTCAGAAGATCAGCCTTTACAACTGACAAGTTGTAAAGGCACAACCAAGCCTAATCTGCTCTCGCTGCCTTTGGATAGGGGAGTTCCCTCCCCACTGGACAAAAGAGGGAACCAAGGTGGATTTCAAGGACTGAAGCGACACCTCTCTGACCCAGACAGCGAGGATCATGGGAGTAGTAAGAGGTTTCTGAGCTGCAGGAGTATCAGCCCTCCTTACGCCACATCTCCACCCACCCAAAGCATCAGCACCAACCAAAACACACACCAGAGTCCCACTGGACTGCAGGACTGTGGGTACGCAGACCAGGAGGAACCTATCGACTTAAGTGTTGTCAAGTCCCGGCCTAAAGCTACGCAGCCTGAAACACAAACTGAAACTGTAACACAATCTGAAACACACACACAGGATGAAACAGACACACACACGGACGTACGGACAGAAACTGAAATACAGAAAACTACAGAGGAGGATAAAGTCAATTCATTGTCTGTGTGTAACCATGAGAAGAGAAAAGAGGAGACGTTTCCCTCTCTCCAGCCTTTCCTCGGGAATATAGTGATCACAGACATTACCACGAACTGCCTCACAGTCACCTTTAAGGAATACATTACAGCGTAACGGACCTGTGGAACTGCATACATTTACATTCAATATATTTGTATTTTCGGATGCTTGAATGTACAAACGGACCCTTGATGTTTTTTTCATTTTGTATAGTTCCCATAAAGAAAAAATATCCTTTATTGCGTTTTTGCATATTTCTTCTTATAAGCTCTCTGTTGTTACTCCTGGAGATTTTTTATCACATACGTTACCTAATTTCAAGCCAAATTAGGTCAAATAAATGTCTGAAATTGATTGAAGATGCACTTATCTCTTGTAAATACTCTTCACTTTTCTATGGATGTAATTTGATTATTCACTCAAACTGTCGGCATCTTTGACAATGCTAAACAAATGTAGGCTTTATGGAGTTTTGTAAAGAAAGATTATATTGAACCATGGTAAATTACACTGTGTGTGTGTGTGTGCGTGTGTGTGTGTGTGTGTGTGTGTGTGTGTGACAGATGGACCGACTGAAACAAGGATGCATGCTGTTTGGACAGATAATGCTATTAGGCATGCTTAAACAAGCAGATCAGAAAAAACTAAGCACCTTTCTGTCAGTAAATGTGATCTGCAGCTGAAAGAAAATGTATTTCAAATGAGAGATAATAAATGGTTAATGTTTGATATACGCTCTTTTTCTATCTCTGTTCAAAGGGTTCTTTGAGTCATGAATCTCCAGATCTGATACTGAGCACTAGTCACCTCCAGCCCTGAGACTTTATTTATGTAATGTTTCCTAGCAGTGCAGTGAATAAAATGGCGTTGCTTCACTTGAACCATATCAGTTCCTAATCTGTGTTAGCACTGTTAGTTGACATGTGTACTCCAATATATTAAAACATCAGATGGGTGCTCTATGATTCACTTTCTCATGTTTCCGTTCTCGGCCTCCCTCACATGTTCTGAGGCGACACAGTTATGTATGGAACTGAATGGACCTGTCTTGGTGTCATATTTTACGTAACTTTTGCTACATTGCGCTAATTAAAAGTTTGTAAAAGCACACATTCTTGTCACAATCATATCTGTTCCCTCCTGTCATACATGCCCCTTCTACTTTTGTTTCATTTTCGAAAATCCTTTCCAGCACTATGAGATCCGAGGTGCGTTGAACAGCTCTGTGAGAATGATTATCAGATGCACTTTTTATGTTTTGTGTGCAGACAAAAAAATGAAGGCTTCCTATGATACATTTTGCAATAATACAATTGTTTGCAAGTAAATTATGGACTTATGTTTCTTGTTTTATGCACATATTCCTATATTAAGAACATGGTTATAAACCTTGACATGTGACCTTGGCCTCCTACCGAGAACTTGAGATTTTAACCAGAAAGGGCGGCTGCTATAATGCTCCTAAATGGCCATCCTTACCTCAGAAGATTCTAAATCTGTACATGGCTCTATTTGTGGCTGTGTGTGTGTGTGTGTGTGTGTGTGTGTGCGTGTGCGTGTGCGTGTGTGTGCAGGCTGCGGCAGCAAGGATTATTACAGAGCCTGAAGTGAGTTTATTTTCAGATGGGCTGCCCCGACCAGTATTTGCCTTGTGTGCATACTGTAGCGACAGGTCAGTTCACTGCTGCTATGGTGACACCTTTATTTAGAAGTGGATAACAATTTTGATTGTGTTGTATGAATGCAACTGATACAGCAGCGTGGTAAAATGAACATTACATGTCAATGTTTACACATAGTTAGATGTGTGGTGTACAGGGGTTGAATGTAACTGTTTACTACTATTTTAAGTATTGTACACATTTTTTAGATACTTGTACTTGAGTACTTTCTTTAATGCCTCTTTTTAATTCTACCCTACTACATTTAACTGACATCATAAGTTGCATTTCACTTAATAAATAATAGAGACATTTGCACACAAAACATAACACATTTATACAACATTTTCATAAAACTACCCAACAATATATAGGCCTACAAGTAGTCTTAAAATGATTATATTAATAATGAATTGGTTGATTCACAGAACTATTTTTCGTTTCATTCATATTCAATGTATAAAAAAAAACAATTCCAACTTCAACTTGTAGGCCTACTTGATTATTTTCAAAGTGATATTAGTGCTTTACTTCAGTAAAGGATATGAATAGTTCTTCCATCCTCTAACTGAGAAAAAGTGAAAGATCTTGAGATGATTGGATTAGGATAATAATTGTTTTTAAATGCTGTTCATTAAACCAGACACTAACAGATTGGTATCCACTGTGAGCTGGGAATCGCTTTATGGTTTAACAAACACTTATATGAGGATTTCAGTAAAGCTCATAATTGTGACCTGGCAGCTGTTCATGCGTGATGTTACCTGAATAAACCCTCCTGACATGCTGAGCAGCACAGCAGGGGGCTGCGGATTTCCTTACTTGACCTACAGCTTAAATTACATAACGTGGGATATGATTTCCCTTTTTCCTGCACGGTTTCACATGTCAGCCGCTCATATAATGAGGAAGACAGTTGCTGTTCCTCTCAATAACATGAAGGCGCTTTAATGTGAGGAACTCCGTGCTCTGTTGCTGCACAAACCTACCGAAAGACTAGCATTTGAACGCAAACCCGTGTGTTAAAAGGGAGGAATAATTATTATTTGCCTTTCCGATTCTGTAAATATATAAAATGTCGAGTGAAATGGTCGAGTCAGCAGCTCTCGACCATTTCCTGCAGAGCCCGCCAATAAACCTGCTCTCAGTGCGCGTGGATGTGAGCAGCGAGAGAGAAAATGGCTGTCCTTTCTCTGCTGCATCCACCTCTTTCCTGTCGTCTCCGGTCGTGTGTCTAAAACGCCTTGCAGCTGCAGCGAAACAATAACTGCAACAATGTTTAACCGGCGGTAAATTACCCCGCAGGATTTTAGACGACATTATTTATTCTAAGCATCACAAAACATGTCTGATTGCTCTCATGTAGGCAAACACACGGCCAAAATCCGAACAAGTTGATCAGGTTTACCCATAAATAAAACAAGAAGTGTATAAAATGGTGTAATAACACTTCCTGTCGGGGATCCACCCTCTTCCCTCTTCCTCTTATCTGCCAGCTCTCTCTCACTGTGTGCATGGCCGTTAAATGAGGCCTAACATGCTCTCTGACAGACCCTTACAGTTGGTGTGCTGGTCATTTAAAGTCACCCATATATTCAATGGATTAGAGAGGGGGCTTTTTTGAAAGGGACAAAATGTTAACTGTGCTCCTAACATGTATTCCACAGAGACTTCTTCAGTAGGCCTGCACAGCCGTAAGGAAAGGAAAAGTACACGCGCATTATGGAAACACATCTAAATCAAGTCACAACAGTTTAATAGGGGCGGGGGCTTGAATACAACATTTGCAACAAACACGATACTTTCAACATCCTGTTTTTAATTATGCAATGCAGTCGTTTTAAACTGCCAGGAACGGATCCCAGAACAGCCTTCAGGCCTACTCACGCTTACATGTATGCCAACAGTATTCTTATAGTGAACTTAACTCCTCTAAGAATGAATTCATTTTTTAAATAAATAAATCCAGCAAGGATCTGTGTAGCACAAGCACCAAATAGTACCTATGTATTCATACAAATCCACCATTAACTGTGTAGGCCTTTACTGTCATAACTTGTTGTAAAAGCCTGCATTTCTGTCAGCATCTGTAAACGCGCGTTCCACTGCCGGGATCAGTTTAATGACACACAAGTCAGTAACCCGCAATTCATCCAACGTTGACTTTGTCCAGGATTCAATGAGAGTAAAGACGCAGGTGCTGTGTGTTTTCCAGATATCACTGTCTTACGTTTATTAGAAATGTGACGGAAAAGACGAAACAGAGTGCGCGTGCAGAACAGGTGTGCATTCTGTGTTCATTCTTCATGTTTGTTAAATAGCCTATTGCTTATGGGAAAGAATACATCTGAAATCGATGTTTCTATTTGGCTAGGGGGATTCAGAAAAACAACCCCCGGTGTAAACGAACTGCATGCTCTGTCTGACATGAGACCCTAACTGAAGCCCGTATCACCTTTCCATCAGCTGCTTGTCATTTTTATATGCGCGTGGACCCTTAAAGTGGCAGGGACGGTTGCCATAGAAATTAATTTTGGGCTGTTCTCAGTTCAAGATCGCCGCACCTGAACTGTTCGATAATCCTGCACCTCTCTAACCTTCCCCCCTCTTCCTCTCAATGAGCATGATGCAGATTGCCATGCTGTGTTCGGGCTCTCCGGGTATTTAGCACCGGAGGATCCGGCAGCAGCAGCGTCTTGCCCGGATACAAGCCAGCCAATGGTGTTGTGTCGGCGGCAGCACTGCTGCACTGCAGGCGCGCCGAAACCAATCGCATCCAGAGTGAGAGCTGCGCCCATTCCTCCGAGTCTGCGGAGGGCTTAGTGCTGAACAATCTGACAGGAAAACATAAGAAAGGGTAGAGAAAATCATGTCAAACACGTGCTCCTTCACTGAAAAATACATTATGTGGCATTGGCTCTGCTGGCCTAAACAGATTCTAATGTATCACCACTTCACATTAAATCTTCATAACCTTATACAATCAAATGTTTGCTAAGATGGCTTTAAAATATAAGATATAGTGTATTATCCCAATGGGAAAACAAAATATGTTGAACATCTGCCTCTCTGAGCTTTCCCCCCCCCCAAAAAAAGGTAAATAGTCTTATTGTCGTCTTGGCCAACAGTTATTGTGCACGCATTAAATTAACAAAGAATGCTGAGCGTGCACACACCTGAATATGTATCTCTCGTCCATTACTGTCTGCATGTCAATGGAGGTATAGCATGGCTTTAGTTAGAGCTTCAGAAACATATAAGAAGAAAAGGACTTTAATGAATACATTCTGCAACACTGGTATTCGTGACAAAAACAGTATTAAGAAAATGATGTTATGTGTGCAGTTGGCAGACGAGGCATTCAGCGCTAATTGAATTTACAACGATACATATTCTGATGAGAAGTGAATTTGATGTTAGTCATACATCAGTGCCCCAGTCAGTGTCATGCTCTTTAAATAGGCCAGAACTTTTTGTCTTGATCTCTGGGATCATTGTATTGACAGTAGCCTATATGTTCTGTTTATAAAGAGAGCCGTGCAGAAACGTTCCCTCTCAGCCGTTTGGTCTTGTCTCGAAATCTGGTAAAAACCCGCTCATTGACAGCTATCGTCTGACTGAAATATCCTTCTTTGAAATTACACATTTTATTGTTTCATCAGAATGCATTTTATATTCATTCATCAAAAAATAACAAGCTATTTAAATGTAAAAGGCTACTTTGGTATGGAGGGACTGACTGAATGCCGAAAAATCCAGAGTCAATACTTTTTTCCTGCAGAGCAGATTTAATTTAAATAGCCACACAGGTTTCAAATATTCTACCTTTAATATTGATTTCGATTTGTTGTGCATTCCTTTAAAGCTACGTGATATCGATGAAATTATTCAATAATCTCTGCTGTGCATTTGTTATTTACTATCTAGATTGGCATTGGACTTTATAAAAAAAAAGGTGGAACATATTCTGATCATCGCTCTGTTCTGAAGGGCAAAGTTAAAGTTTACTAAATTTTACGATTTGTTATCCTACTCGTTTTTTAATCGCTTATTAGTCCTTCCAAGAAATTAGGTTGGGAAGAAAATCCAAAGGACTGTATGTAAAATCAGCTATCAGGTCATACATTCGTGCAGCATGAACAAGCTAGCATATTTGTTCTTTTTATTTGACTCTTTTAGATATTTTAGTGAAAAGTTAAAGGTTAGGGAATAACAGGGATAGCTATATATTTTTCAATCAGGTCAGACCAATATATGGTAATATCTAGTATTCAGATGTGTGTTTTATAAGGCCAAATACATTTCAGACCATTTTATTGTACATATTATATTGCCCCGTTCCTTCCTTTTTAATTACAGTGATGTTCTTCTGCCGCCATAGCTATTGGAATTATAAATCATTCATATTTGTAATATCCTTTGTTCGTGATAATTGAATTAAATAATGAA